GAGATAATGAAAATGTTTTGTCAAGAGCAACAAAAATAGGTAGGAATCTGCAACAATATTCTGCAATGTACACAAACCATCCAAAGGAATTGTTGACATTGTAAAAACCCCTCTTTTTTTTTTTTTTTGAGAAACTGGAGAGTATAAACAAAATATAAAAGGATGTTCCATATTCCAACAGGCAATGCTGGCTACAGTAGTCATCCATAGGTGACTCTTCTACCTTCTCTGGAAATGCTGGTAGTAAAGCAAACACGAGAAGCCACCAACAGGTTAATGCCATGTGTGAACAGACAAAGTATTACTTTGTACACCTGTTATGCAGAGTCCTATCTGTGGAGGAGCTCAGGGTATGCACAGCAGCTGCAGGGAGCACAATACCTAGCAATGCATTTATTTGGATACAAAGCATTTTTACATTTAGCTCACCCAACCTCCGTCATCCAGCTGTAAACACTGGCACTACATGGGTGTGCGTGCCAAGGGGAGACTCTGTTATGCACTTCACATAGACCCAGCAGACCCCAGACAAGGCTGTTAGCCGTGATAAAAGCCACCCCGAGGACCAGCAATGGGGCTCCCTTGATTATAGGTCATTTAGCCAGTACACCAGGGACTGTGTCCATCTGAAACCCACATGCATGGACAGATCAGCTAGGTAGAGGAGCACACCTAGGTCCTGCACATGGGTGGGAAAAAAAAAAAAAAAGAGGACCGCTGAGTCTGCAGGTGGCCTCAAATTTATGAGTTAGGTCCTGGAAAAAAGGAGGGGTGGGGCCCTTACCCAGCTGTGATGACATGGAGCTGTCAGGAAACAGGATTTTCACTTACCAGTATGATCTTCCTCCGCTCTGTTTTCATGATCTCCCTGTTGCTTGCAACAAAATTGAGAGGCTTTTTTTTTTTTTTTTTTTTTTTTTGCCAATGTCCAGTGACTTTAAAGCAGACCTCCAGTCAAAATGTAAAAAAAAAAAAAAGTAAAAGTCAGCAACTACTTTTAAAAATAGCCACTCACCTGTCCCTCGATCCTGCAGTGTCCTCCTCGCATCCGGTTTCACCTGCCGTCCTCTCTCCCCAGTGCCGGCATCTTAAGTGTGGGCACTCAGCTCACAGCCAGGTGCCCACTGCGCATGCACGAGTAGCGCTGTGCCTTGTGAATGGTCCCGTAGTCTTCTGGGATCTGTCATGTGTCCTAGAAGACAACATGGAAGGAGGACAACTCCCTCTTTTCTGATTGCCTAGGCAAGCGCAGAGGAAGTGGGAGCAAGTACCTGTCAGAATCGTGTACCTGAGCCCCAAAGGTGCCAATCTTTAACGGGGAGCAGGGGACTATACCATAAAGTGGAACTTCCCCTTTTGGGTGGAGCTCTGCTCTAAGGTAACTGTATATATACTGTACTAAAGGTCCTGTACTGTACCCAATAAAAACTAATTTTACTAGTAAGGCAAATGTCCTATTTTTTGCCAGCCTTCTAATTTTGTGGTATTATTTCCTCAGTGGCTTCAATCAAAATTCCCTGCCACACTGCTTCTTGAGTTGGTCTCTGCAACTATCCGGATCAAAGTCTGGTCTGCAGTAGCTTTGGAGGCTGTACCTCGTTGGAGTGACGTGGAGGGCTAGTCATGAATGTGACATTGGGGCACTTGGCTCTTCATTGTGGAGCTGTGTACTGTGGTGGGTTTCCACTGCCTGCCTACAGTGACATGGTCATCCTTGGCCACCTGAAACCCCCATAACCACCAGCTTCCTGTATTTGTCAATATTTAAAGCCTTGCCTCATATTGGAACCAGTTGCATTACTGGGCAGATGCAGCATGTCTTTGCTAAGAGACACAGTAGATAGTCCCATTGTTATGGGTGACCTCAGCTCATACGCCCCTAGTAGCTCTGGGGGAGTTTAATTTGTAATTAATTTACATTTGTATTGTAGGAATTGACACCCATCATCCTGACCCTGGGACTCCTCTTATATATGATTGTCCTCATCAGAATCTGCTCCCATTTAGCATAGTTTAGCAATGGGAATATTAGCAATTTTAAAAAAGGGTCATCAGGCTGCTTTCACACTGATCCACAAGTGCAGTGCACCTGCGGCTTTCCTGCAATTTAGCTGCACCAAGGCATAGACTTCTATCATGTCCTACAGGTTTGGTGTGCTGAATGCAGTTTTGTTGCGCTTTTAGAAAGTGCACACCTGCAAGATAAAATAGAAGTCTATGGTAAACTGCAGCACATCAGTACGAAAGCAGCCTTAAAAGGGGCTCAAGACAGTAAGGGCTTGTTTGCATTTGAGGACAGCAAAGCCCCATAATTGAGAGATTTTACCACACTCCAACCACTGGTGGTAGCATCAGGAGTCACAATGGTGACCCCACCTCATACTCCAGGGGCCCTCACACAGCCTCCATCACATTATTTAACACATGGAAAAGGGGGGGGGGGATTATCCAAATAAATGTGGCCCATAACTGGTTACTAAATCACTTAAGTGGCCCTTGCCCTTCAATTTTGGATGAGCATCCCTGCCTTAGAGGGACCTGCTCCTGACACTCATTAGAAGAGCCTCTGGTGCAGGAGGTGTCGAAGGGTCAGAGGATCCCCACCCTTCTTCCCCCACTTCAGCAGTAGGTGCTTGTATGCATTTAGAGCATCTGTCCCACTCAGGACGTAGGACTCCAACCTAGAGGTCAGCCTTCTGCATGAATGTGGGCCCCACCTCTACAAGTGAGGGTTGTTTGTTCTTCCACATGGGTTCTTGGGTAGTTTGCATCCCAGGTATTTGAGTTGAAGATAAAAGTAAACAAGTAGAGCCAACGTGTTTTGGGGGAACTTCCTCCCCCTTCTCCAGGGATAGTATACATGGTAAAAACTCATAGGCCATAGGATTTGTATAAAGTGCAAAGCCAAAATGTGTGTTAATATACAGTGAGGAACAGATGTATTTGAACACCCTGCAATTTTGCATGTTCTCCCCACTTAGAAATGATGGAGGGGGTCTGAAATTCACAGTGTAGGTGCATTCCCACTCTGAGAGACAGAATAAAAGAAAAAAAAAAAATTCAGGAAATCACATTGTATGATTTTTAAAGAATTTGTCTTGCACTGCTGAACATAAGTATTTGAACACCTAAGAAACAGCAAGAATTCTGGCTCTCAAAGACCTGTTACTGTGCCTTTAAAAAGTCCACCTCTACTCCACTCATTAATCTAACTTAGTAGCACCTGTCTGAGCTCTTTAAATACACCTGTCCACCCCACAGTCAGTCAGACGCCAACTCCTACCATGGGCAAGACAAAAGAGCTGTCAAAAGACACCAGAGACAAAATTGTGGACCTCCACAAGGCTGGAAATAGATCAACTATTGGAGCAATTGTTAGAAAATGGAAGAGGCTAAAGACGACTGTCAGTCTCCCTCAGACTGGGGCTCCATGGGAGAAAGTCATGTGGTCAGATGAGACCAAAGTAGAACTTTTTGGTCTAAACTTTGTCGTGTTTGGAGGAAAAAGGATGAAATGCATCCCAAGAACACCATCCCTACTGTGAAGCATGGGGGTGGTAACATCATGCTTTGGGGTGCTTTTCTGTGAAGGGGACAGGATGACTGCACTATATTAAGGAGAGGATGAATGGGGCCATTTGTTTTGAGATTTTGAGCAACAACCTCCTTCCCTCAGTCAGAGCATTGAAGATGGGTCATGGCTGGATCTTCCAACATGACAACAACCCGAAGCACACAGCCAGGATAACCGAGGAGTGGCTCCATAAGAAGCATATCAAGGTTCTGGAGTTGCCTAGCCAGTCTCCAGACCTAAATCCAATAGAACATCTTTGGAGGGAGCTGAAACTCCATGTTGCTCAGCGACAGCCCCGAAACCTGACAGATCTAGGAGATCTGTGGGGAGGAGTGGGCCAAAATCCCTGTTGCAGTGTGTGCAAACCTGGTCAAGAACTACAGGAAACGTTTGACCTCTGTAATTGCAAACAAAGGCTTCTGTACCAAATATTAACACTGATTTTCTCAGGTGTTCAAATACTTATGTTCAGCAGTGCAAGACAAATAAATTCTTTAAAAATCATACAATGTGATTTCCTGAATTTGTTTTTAAATTCTGTCTCTCAGAAATGCACCTACAATGTGAATTTCAGACCCCTCCATGATTTCTAAGTGGGAGAACTTGTAAAATTGCAGGGTGTTCAAATACTTCTGTTCCTCACTGTAGTTTCAAACTAAAGAGCAATCCTCATTTAGTCTTTAAAACAAATTGCGATTGGTGTATAAAATGAAACCCTATCCACTGAATTTTTGCTTTGCACTTTATACAAATATATGGGGGGGGGGGGTAAGGGTGAACTGTTATAAGCTTACCTGTAGGTAAAAGTTGCAAAAGCAGATTTTACCACTGCTTTACAATGTTGCCATTTTCCTAGATGGCATACTGAGCCTTTGACATCAGCACAAACCCAGAAAATGTATGCAGGTGTTCTCACATCATGCAGGACTCAAACAGGAAAGCCAGATACAACCAGGCAAATAGCATGTTCAGAAGGGGACTAATGAGAGGCTATTTCTTCCAAAATTCCTTTTCATACATACAAATGCACTGCTTTACAACACAATGTTAGAGTAAATCTGGAGTGACACTCAGTCGGCTTGCATTTGAAAGACCATTGCTAGCCCTGTGTTTGTCTTACAGCAGGTTGCTTTTATAGTGAAAAGCATTTTTATTACTGCCATTTGACACAGGTCTACAGAACAAGAATCATGTCATTTTAGTGTGTAGAAAAACACATCAAAATGGTATGGCACATTTGTTCAGCTTTGAAATACATAACAGTCATAAATACCGTTACCTGAAATAAATCATTGCTGTATTTACATTCACTAATACATTCCTTCAACCTCCCAAAGGTTAGGCTGAAATTGTGGTGCATACACAAAAAAAGTTCAACCAGACACAAGAGTCTATAAACCAGATTTTATTTCTTTTTAAGAGAAATTTATTTTGCTGGCTTGGTAGCCTCTTTCTGGAGTTTCTTCATTTCATGTCTGATTATCTTGTTCCTCTGAAAGACCAATACAAGTCTATTAGTATTATATTCAGAATGCACAAAATCCAAACAAACATTCAAGTGTGCCCAAATGATCACCATTCTAGAAGCCATCTTAAAAATAAAGCACAGATACCAACACTGTTATGAATGCTAATAGGACACATTACCAAGCTCTCCTCAGAATCCCCCCCCCCCCTCTCCATCATTTAATGGCGCATTTGTTGCTTCATAGTCTGGAAACAAGTGAGAAGCAACACTTTCATGACTAGATCTTTGCCATACAAATGAAACTTATTTTAACCAGGGTTTTCATGTTCAATTATGATGTGGTTATTTTGTCCATCATTCAAATATTCAACTGGAACTAGTGTATGGCATCTGCTCCCAGCAATGAACACTTTTTATTGTGGACATAAAGGCTAAGCTTACCATTTTCTTTGCCTTCATAACTTTGTAACGGTCAAAATCTGTCATCTTTGCTTTCTGGAAAACAAAAATGGAATCACACAAATTCAAACTATGCATACATATATCAGCTTCTTCAGGAGTGACATCACTCATGCATCACTGCAGCTCCAGGGAAAGAGTGAGGCCAGTGGGTGGAACCACGGCATAAAAAAAAAAAAAAAAAAAAGAAGAAGGGGCACCTGTCATGCAAATTTCTCACCGAGCAGATTATGAATTAGTGCAGGCGTCAACAAGAATTTGAGAAAATCAGTGCACCACCATTACCTTCCATAAATACACGTCAAACAAAAGAGAAAAGTTCCTGGCTCAACTTGCCAGCCAGCCTGTAAACAAACCAAATTAACCTGTCTAACAGTATGAGTTAAAAACAGGGGTTTAGTTTGCACACATTTGCAAACACATGCGTAAGCTACAGAGCCTCCTCACGGCACCCTTATATATTCTGTAGTCCTAACTCTACAAATTTTGGGAGCCCCCATAGTAGAGGCACATGGATAGACCAAGGGCAGGTGGACCCTTGTTTGCAGGCTGGCTAGTTGAGCCTGGAATTTTTCTCTTTTGTTTGACATGCGTTGCCCTTATATGTGCTTTGTTGTGAAGGCCAGTTATAGACTGGGGCAGTGGACATTTTTTGTACTGCCATAAATACATGCTGCTGTAATTAGTAGTTCAGCAAGTAGTTTGGTTACCACTTGCTTCAACATGTGAAAGATTTTTTTTTTTTTTTAAAAAAAAAAGCTCAGGCCTGACCTAGGCCTAAAAGTTTGGCAGCCAGTTATATAACCAAAAATACAAAATAAAAATGAGGAACACTCAGAACGTTGTGTTCTGCAAGACCTCTGAAATGATTAAACATTTTTCCTTCCAATGTGAATTTTAAAAATTAGTTACCCTCTCTCTAGCATCAATCCTCTTTGCCCAGTTAGTAGCAGTCCACTTCTCATTGATCTTCTCCTTCTCCCAGGCTTTACGGACATATTTCTGCCGAGCACTAAAAGAGAAAAAAATCAACTATATGGTAAACTTACTGTAAGCTAGAAAACAATTTTAAATTATGCAAGATTCACTGATATTTAAACGTGAAAAACAACTAGGATTTCAGAAACTGTTTATTCTAAGCTTGCTAAATCCACTCTGATATGTTTTGTAAATGTTTTCTGGACCTGAATATATTCAGTTTTATTACTGGTCTCATTGGGGGAAGGCCTGCCTCACTTCCTGTTGACAAAACAGAAAAGATGAGATCTCTCCAAAGTGAAGGAATTCCTCTCAGAAATTTGTCACCGAAACGCCCTGTTCTGGTAACAACTGTAAAATGTTTCCACGTATCACTGACTTATAGTCACAGTAGTCACCAGAACAAATAGAGGGTGAACCTTCCCAGTGCAGACAGATTAAAACTGACAGATTTCTCTCCTCCATCCCAAATGTAAAATGACATTAGATACGCTTTAAATGAAGGATGACCCTACCTTCTCTTACAAAGTGCTTTTAGCCTTTAACATCTAATTACCTGTGGGGGAACTTCAGAACAAAGTCAGTAAGCTGCATGCACTTGAATGGCATGGCCTGCCTTCTTACACCAGTGCAGGGACCATCAATAAGAGCCTGTAGATATATAATTCGATAATTCAACAAACACGCTATAAACAGTAAATATACAGCAATGCGCTTGTGACATTATTGCTCTGACATGAAGGACATTGGATTTAATCAAGTATATAGAAACAAAAAGTAAAATCCTTATTTTAAATATATGATACACTATCTGGCAAACATCAGTGCAGCCGTTTCTTCTGCAAAGTATGACAGTGGCTGCTTAGAGGATAAGTTCACCTTTTGCAAAACAAAAAAAAAGTGCATTTATTATTTTTTTGTTGCAGGAGCCTGTAAACCATTCCACCAGTGATCAGATCGCAGGTGCCATGCAGGTCTCTGCAGACCTGTCAATATATCTGCTTGCACATATGATATGTACAGGCCAGCAGATATACTGACAGGAAGAATCAATGAACTACCACAGCGCTCCAGTCTCATGGTAGTGAAAGTAAAGCTGACACCCACCAAGGCTGTTGGGACTTGCAGTTTTCTCATTCACAGAAAAACTGTGAATAAGTGACACGGCCGTGCGGAAGATCCCCCACTAGCTATCAAAGTGGGGGCCGGCCTATTCATACCATGTTACACCCTGAATATGGGTGTAACATAATGAAAGGTATCCTTTAAAAAATATGTGCCCCCTACACAAAATTACTCAGCTACATAAAAAGGTATTAAAAGGAATTTTTTTTAAATTAAAACAAACAGGTTATACTCATCTGCTCCATGCAGTGGTATTGTACAGAGTGGCTGAGATCCTCCTCTTCTCGGGTCCCCCACCGGCAATCCTGACTCCTCCTCTTCGTGAGTCCCCATAGCAAGCCATTTGCTATGGGGACAATCGCTTCATGCGTCTGACCTGTGTGTCTATGGAGCTGTGCTCCATAGACACACACAACGGGACATAGCACCACCCCCTCACTTCCTCTTCACCACACTTGACTAACAGCAGCAAGAGCCAATGACTCCTGCTGCTGTTAAAAGTCCCTGTGTGAAGAGAAAGCAAGGGGAGAAGAGATGCAGCTGTGCACAGCGCTGATATCTTCTCCCCTCCCTTTCCCTTCACATGAGGAAGGGTGAGCATGGTTTACCTTAATGCAAGAAATGCATAGAGGTAAAAAAAAGTTTTCAGGTTTAGTATCACTTTAAGGTTTGACAATAAAATCTGGATGCCGATTGGTTTCTATTCAGAGCTACACCAGATTTGCACTCTGCGTTTTAGTAAATTAACACCTGAGTTTAGGTGTTAAATCAGTCTATATAGGTTACCTTCTCACCACCCATTTCAGCCTTGATAATGCTGCATCACTGTGCCACAATTGTGAGCATTACATGAGGTTTTCATCACAGCCCAATTAATTTGAATGTTTGGTGGTGGTAACACTGGTTGAACTCCAAAAGGGTATATAATTTTAAGCACACCCATGAAACAGGTGTAACATGTGTACACCTGTCTGTCTGCCTTTGCATCTTGAGAGGGCAGGAAAAGAAAAGAAAAGAAAAGAAAAAAAAAAAAAAACACCTAAACTGGCTGTTTTTACTGCCCCCAAATGCAAAGTGTAATCAAGCCCAAAGTGAAAGTTTTAGGTAAGTGGCTCTTGTAACTTTAGGACTCTCACAGGAATTAGCTTTATATAAAGCAGTTACAATTACCATAGGGGTAAAAAAGTAGCAATAATTTAGCATTTTTAATGATTTTCACATTAATTAAATAAATTAACTGTTTAATATACAACTGAAAATACGTAATTATGTAGGGGTTAGGCAGGCGTCTCCAAACTTTCTAAACAAAACTGCCAGTTTTTTGTGCTTCAGAATTTAGAGGGGCTGCACTTTGGCCAGTGGCAGCTTTGCTGGCATCAATGGCACCAAACCACCACATTGGCTATTAACTATGGGAACACTTTGTTGTTTCTTCCTCCTTGCCCTCGCCCAACTGAAAATTATGTTGTCCAAATCTTCTCCCGTGCTCATTTATCCAGGGTGGAGATATTCGAATACATAAGGTTATTACTGGCCATATCACCAGGAGAAAGGGGGGCGGGGGTGCAAAAAGAAAAACAAATGTAGCCAAATGGTTGGTATGCTACAATATATCACATTTTTTTCTTTCAGGTTTAACACACATCACAAAAATCTCACCAACATAAATAATGATGTCATAAGCATTTCTAATACTTACTCTATTTTGGTCAATTACATCAACAATTGTCACAAGTTTACCAGCATGGGGACCAAAAGAGATGTAGGCAACACGGCCTATCTGCACATAGCGTTTGAACACCTGCAAGATAAAGAGGAAAAAAAAAAAAAAAAAGGTCAGTCCAGCTTGCTAGACAAACGTGTTTTATTTTTAATTGTTAAAACAACGTTTCAGAATATAAATACTAGAAAATTGCTGCCAATAGCAATTATATTCCAGATCTAAAGAGCGCACTTCTAGTTTTCAATAATGTGGGCAATATTTAGAGCCTCCTAGGTTTTTACTGCTGTGTCCCTGTTGGTGACATTTATCCTTCTAGCTGAAGCACCGTAGAGAGGTTTCGGGGGACTGGTCTCCTAGACTTCAAGAAGTTCACCTTTGTGAAATAATGAATAAATGCACTTTTGTACCTCCAAATACAAGAGACAGCAGAGCGTTGTACCTGTGATTAGAGCATCGAGGGTGCAATCTCAAGTTCCTGCAGACCCTTCCCTTCAGCTCTCTGCCCCCAACTATATGGCCTGTCAGTTTCAGTGCTGCAGGAAGGGTTCATGGACTACAAAGCATGCTTATTCAGCTTGTACTCTATTGGGAACTACATGCTGTCTGATGCGGTGAGATGACTTATTCACAGATCTCTGTGAATGAGCGAGGCGACTGTGCATGTGCAGTCGCACAAAGCCGCACCAGTATTAATAGTGATAGTGGCTGCAGGGGAGAGGAAACCCTGCCCGCTGGGGGGTTGCTGCATAGCAACATGTTACACCCTAAATACAAGTGTAATGTGTTACCAAAGTTGAACCTATCTGGTAAATAGTTAACCCTTGCACTGCAAGACCCCCACTACTGGGGTACATTTAAAAAAAAAAAAAAAAAAAGATTACTTTTTTTTTCCTTTTGTACCTTTCTTCAAAACACAGTGGCAGGGAAATCGCATGATGCTTTCACGCCATGCAATTCCCCAAACCCGCAAATGCGTGTTTTTTTTTTATTAGATGCATGGGAGTGCCATTAAGAATGAACAGCAGTCCTGCGTATCTGTTAAGAACAGCGTATTTTGGCTGCGGGTAGTTGTGGGTGCAAGAACAGGTGCGATTCCTGCACTCACATAAGTGTGACCCTGGCCTAAGTGCCAGTTCACATTGGAAATTGCACACGAATGCTCTGTGGGTTCCTGTGCAGCGCAATTTTAGCCCATTCATATGGAATTGGCTGAAATTACACTGTACCAAAAGTAACATATGCACTACTTTTGAAAACTCACTGCAAACGCATCGCATGAGACTTCTGTACCAAGCTACCCTGTGTGGGCAACCACGCTGTGCTTGTAACCTGCGTTTGGGGTGTCCTTCAGGGCCATTTCACACTAAAATGGAGTGCGGGAAAGCCTCGTTCCTGTGCAGCTTCCCACGCCGCATTCCAATCACACTGCCCTTGTGATCTGCTGTGGGTATCAGTGCAAAGTTAACGTTTGCCTGCACAACATTTGCACATGGTACAAAAGTTCCCTGCATTCCAGTTGCTGCACATTTCAAAAAAGTAGTGCATGCACTACTTCTGGTGAGGTGTGATTTCAGCCCATTCAAAATGAATGAGCCGAGATCGCACTACATGTGAATTGCACAAGAACTACATAGCGTTCCTGTGCGATTCACATGTAGTTCATAGTGTGAAAGGACCCTACATTTGTTGACACCTGCTTCAGATTGCAGACACAGCCAGTTTTGAATGCCATGCAGGAAATGCACACGGAAATGTGGGGTTCCCGCACCGTGTTCTGGTTTGGACTAGATGTAAGGAATAGGCTGCTATACTTCCCTTATTCCTTGATCCCCTGATCTCTTCTCTACACACCACGTCAGGTTGTCAGTGGGCCCTCACATACAATGGTCCTGCATTAGAAATTACGCAGGACCACCAAGTGGAGCACCTTACAGAGGCTTTGGGGGACTCTACCTAAGGTGAACACAGTGTGTAAAAAAATGCATTCAGTGTGCATTTCCCACACTGCACACAAACACTCTGCCTTTGTGAGATGCACGGGGGTGCCAATTATTAATGACACTCTAAACACAACTTGCAAATGCAGTGCTTTTGTGTCCATCAAACCACATGTACTGCAGTACCATTAAGTACAGTGCGGAAAGGTCTGAAAAAGTAGTCCTTGAAAGGGTTAATAGTTAACTAACCTTTGCTTTACCCAAGATTTCACGGGACCGCACAAATACCTGCAGCCACACCACCTGCACAGAGGAACGCAGGACCCATAGACAGGTGCCATTAATTGTAATGGCACGCCGCCTGCATTGGAAATCACAAGCGTACTGCGAACCTTGGTTCCCGTGCGGGATGCGATTTCCCAAGAAGTGCAGGGACAAATCACGGCCCGCACATATGTGAACCAGGGGGTAGGCTTACTAACTTTTGTTCCCCATGAACAGGAGGTTCCCTGAAGAATGAAATGTTATCTTATGTAGGTGTCTCTAGGCCTTGAAGAATTGTAGAAGTTACCATCTTGTCTATGACAGCTTAGGACACACCACATCATGGTTTATTGTAACATCTAGAATGTATCCTGATTGGTGCTTTACGGAAATCCCCTGAAATCCCCAACATTCGCACTATACATAAGCTCAAGCCATAATAACGATCCCAGTTCTGCATCTGAACCTCTAGTGTCTGACTTGCATTATTCCCAAAGTACTTTGCATCTGGAGTGATGGGATGGAGACAGCCGGCATAACATCGACTTCCGAACAGTCCTTGCACTACTGTTTGCACATTCCGGTACTTTAGGCATCCATCCTATTGAAATGAAAGGCTAACCCAGAACACATGAGACGGTGACCTTTCCAGGAAGGGTTAGCACCTCATCCCTTTAAACACAAACCTCACACAGGTTCTGAGGAGAACTAAATGCAGATCAGGCACTAAGGCTCCATTCACACTTATGCAACTAGTCATGTGACTTTGTGGTCAAAAGTTCCATGACAAGTTACCCCTCCCCCCCCATGTTTTCCAATGGGTACCATTCATAGCTGTGCGACCTCAAAGTAGTTCCTGCACTACATACTTTCATGCGACTTGAGGGCCATAGACTTCAATGTAAACCCCCCAAAGTTGCACCTGAATGTTGTACATGTGACTTTGTACAGAAGAAACAATTATCCTTGGTCAAAGCCACACTCATCCAGTCACAATGAAATTTGCAGGATTTTGAAGTCGCACAAGTGTGAATGCAGCCTAAGGCAGTTTAATCCACCACAGAACCTGTGTTCAGATTTCCAGGGATGAGGTGCAACCCTACTTCCGGGGTGAACTGGCCCTTAGGCCAACATTCAGACATATTGGAGCCATGATGAGTGTCCGGGTGAAGGATCACCTCCACACAGCCTATCCCCGATCAGGTAGATGAGGAGTAGGCCCCGCCATGTGTCCAGCACATGACACACACCCCTCCCATGGGGGGATCTCAGGCCTCCCTCACTTTGGACAAGTCTGCACACTCCAAGCAGATGAACACACACGCCGGGCTCTCCCAGGCCTCAGCCTGGCTCTCCATACCGCCCCGACCTCCCCTCCTATACACACCTAGGACATTCTAACACCACAGCACACACAGCAGGGGCCGTGCCCGCTCTCCGGGGCTCCGTCACCTATCCATCCTCCCTCCAGGGAGCACACAGCGCCCTCGGCCTCTCAGAGCACAAGAGCAGGCTACTCACCATGATGGCGGCGGGTAACAGAAAGGAGGGAGTATCGGGAACGCTTTCCGGCTAACCCTTAGTCTTCGACCAATGAAAAAAAAGAGTGCAGGTTCGTCACGGCTCCTAGAAACAGAACGGCAGAATAAGGAAAAGTGATGGCAGAGAAAACGTGTAACACGATTGGTTGACGAATAACATCCTCCTACCAATACAGATTACCCATTCATAACTCATTCGGCCAATAGTCTGACAAGTACTGCTCACAATCCCGAGGTGCATTGCCATTGGTCCATGCGATTTGCAGCTTCCATTGGCTTTGAATTGGGGAATGATCCATTTCTTTTCAAATCGATCTCTTCCATAGGAATAATACATCAATACTCAACAAGCCTTTTAATCAATATGCCACGCATGGCAAAGGGGATAGTTAAGATGCGATCATAAATGATTTCTTTTTCCACCATGTAATCTCATAATCTGATTCATCGAATTGCAATTGTATTGATGAACAAAATACGTCAGTGCTACAGATTGATGCAAAACAATCAATAATATTTCATCCTGGCCAATCAAAATTGAGTCTAAAGCTGGCCATACACATATAGATTTTCGTTTGAGAATTTTTGTTTGATTTACTAATCGTTAGTAGGGTCAAATTGATGTTTGTTTTCGACAGCAGTGACGGGAAAATTCTACAGGGCAAGAAGGAAAACTTTTCTAGATCAAACATATTTTCGGCCAGTATATATGGTTATCGTTCAGAAATTACATTCATTTTAAACTCGAATGTTAAAAGCAAAAGACAATTTTCGAACGACATTTGTCAATTAACCAAATTTTCAAAGAATTTTCATACTAATATTCTGGTCTGAAAATCTGCATGTGTATGGCCAGTTTAAGTCAATCAGAAGGGGAATGATGGCTATTTGAGTGTTTGCAGATTTAATCGTTTTCACTGAACTGCACATTGATCAGATAAAGAAATCATTGCAGTGTGTATGGCCACTGTTAGTATTTAACTACCTCAGTACCAGGCACTTCCACCCCCTTCCTGCCCAGGCCAATTTTTAGACACTTCACACTTTTTTTTTTAGACAAATAGAGCTTTCTTTTGGTGGGTTTTTATTTATTGCTATATAAATAAAAAAGACCAACATTTTTGCAAAAACAAAACAAAAAAGTTTTTCTTAGTTTCTGTTATAAATTCTGCAATTTAATAATTGGTTTTCATAAATTTAGGCCAAACTATATTCTGGACAATACGACTGGTGTGGCAGTGATCAGGGACACTGTGACTGGTGTGGCGGTGATTCTGGACAATACGACTGTGTGGTGGTGATCAGGGACACTGGGACTGGTGTGCAGTGATTATGGACAATAGGACTGGTGTGGTGGTGATCAGGGACACTGTAACTGGTGTGGCAGTGATTATGGACAATAGGACTGGTGTGGTGGTGATCAGGGACACTGGTAACTGGTGTGGCAGTGATTATGGACAATAGGACTGGTGTGGTGGTGATCAGGGACACTGTAACTGGTGTGGCAGTGATTATGGACAATACGACTGGTGTGGTGGTGATCAGGGACACTGTAACTGGTGTGGCAGTGATTATGGACAATACGACTGGTGTGGCAGTGATCAGGGACACTAACTGGTGTGGCAGTGATTATGGACAATACGACTGGTGTGGCAGTGATTATGGACAATACGACTGGTGTGGCGGTGATCAGGGACACTGTAACTGGTGTGGCAGTGATTATGGACAATACGACTGGTGTGGCGCTGATCAGGGACACTGGGACTGGTGTAGCCATGATAAGGGACACTGTAACTGGTGTGGCAGTGATCAGGACAATATGACTGGAGTGGTGACGATCTGTGACACTGTAACTGGTATAGGGGTGACGAGGGACAATGTAACAGGTGTGGCCATGATAAGGCACACTGTAAATGGTGTGACAGTGACTATGGATAATATGACTGGTGTGGTGGTGATCAGGGACACTGTAACTGGTGTGGCCATGATAAGGGATGCTGTAACTGGGTGTGCCAGTGATCAGGACAATATGACTGGAGTGGCAGTGATCAGGGACACTGTAAGTGGTGTGGCATTGACGAGGAACAATGTAACTAATGTGGCGGTGATCAGGACATTGTAACTGGTGTGGCAGTGATTATGCACAATATGACTGGTGTGGTGGTGCCGAGGGACAATGTAACTGGTGTGGCGGTGCCAAGGGACAATGTAACTGGTGTGGCGGTGATCAGGACACTGTAAATGGTGTGGCAGTGATTATGGACAATTTGACTGGTGTGGAGGTGATCAGGGACACTGGGACTGGTGTGGCAGTGATCAGAGACACTGTAACTGGTGTGGTGGTGATCAGTACAATGTAACTGGTGTGGTGGTGATCAGAACACTGTAACTGGTGTGGTGGTGATCAGTACAATGTAATTGGTGTGGTGGTGATCAGGACACTGTAACTGGTGTGGCAGTGATTATGGACAATTTGACTGGTGGCAGTGGCAGTGATCAGTGATCACACTGTAGCTGGTGTGGTGATGATCAGGGCTACAGTAACTGGTGTGGCGGTGATTAGGGACACTGTGAGAGTGTCAGTAGGGCAGGGTAGCTGATGACGGACCTTCCTCCATGTTCCCCATTAACTCATTGGGTGCCAAGTCTGGGTCATAAAGGAGGATTACCTCCAGGGTGGATTCTTCTGGGCTACGCTAAGCACCAGTAACAGGATCACTCTACATCACACATAAAGGGTGCCTTTATGTTTGTACTGTTTCATCAATGCCCTGGGACAAGGTCGAGGCTGCCGTGGGGAAAGACTTGACCTTAAGGCGGTCCTCTGACATTAGAAATGACCAATACAGTCTGTATACTTGCACAACGACTATTCTCCAGTTACCTCTCATGTCCCTGTGTAAATGTACATCTTCCCATTGTAGCTTGCAATTAGTGCTGAACACTGACCACAGCCATCTGTCCAGCGTTTTCCAATACCAGTCCCTGTAGCAGAATGGAACCCCACCATGCACCTAGAGTAGGCTCCAATATGCACTTGACTTTAACTCTTGAACTTCCGTACCTCTGCACAGGATGGCAACCACATGTGTAACTTGCACTAGGATGCCTCTTTGTGCTAACCATTGGTGCCACTTACTTGCATTACACCCCTTTGAGTAACTTCAGATTAGGCGGGAACAAAGTTTCAAAGCTTTACTTGGAAAAGTGTAAAATGAACATCTCAAAGTCCAACATGCAAAAACAGGAATATTCCGATGTGCCTACTCCTAACTCAGGCTGTGCTTCCTCGGCATACATGCAAAAGGTAGAGTCCATGTGCAAAGAGGCCCATCAGTGGCATTTCCCAGCAGCTGCTGTCCATGAGGGCAAACCCCAGGTCCCAATGACCTATTGCATCATGACAGCTCCTAGAATTTCAGCTGCAGGTTCTCTCTCCACGACCCCAGGGATCAGGAATAGGACATTGAGCTCCGGGCCTGTCAAATTCTTTCTGAAGAGGGATCTGAACACACATCACACTTCAGATACCAAAGCTAGTGTGTATGAGCCCTAAAGGCAAATATTTTTTTCATTTTGGACAGAGTAGAGAGGAATTAAAACACCAAACTGTTTTTTATTGTTGTCTTTGCCTCTGTTAGGGAGAATCACCCTCTCTATTTTTTCCTGCTGATCATTATTGCTGAGAGTGAAAGAAAATCCCAAATTTTGAGTTGTCACTAGAACAGGAACAGAGGGGAAATCTTTCACTGGGGACACTAGTTCTAGTGAAAAAAAGCAATTTCCTCACTTGGTTGAAATCAGTTAGTCTACTGCCAGTCCATAGTTTAGTATATGTACTCTGTTATTATAATTTGTAACTATTCATACATTTTGAAACTACAGCCAATCAGAATGTTTACATTTTGTTTCTTTTATTTTTTTTAACTTTATTAAAGTGTCACAAAATGACATGTAATTAAATTTTATTTGCCACAGCTAAACTGTAGTACCATACTGTGTGGTGAGCTGGAAAAACACAACATGTCTGCAACTTTGTGAATGAGGCACATAGAAATCAATTGTTTTCTAAGTGCCATTACAGTGTTGTTCTTGAGCAGAAAAATGCAGGTCACATATAACGAGAATAAGCCCTAACCCCTGGTTCACATATATGCAGCCGTGCGGGCCACAATTTGCACGGGCATGAGAGCCCATTCATTTGAATGGACTTCCATGCCCCGTGACATGCAGGGAAGAAGTCCCTGCACTACTTCTGAAAATGCAGGCCGCACGGGAACCTCACTTCCCAGTACAGTTGTGTTTTCCAGTGCGGGTGGCATGCCATTAGAAATAATGGCACCCACCAGCGGGTCCGCATTCTTCTGTGTGGGTGGTGCGGCTGCACGGATTTTCATGCGGATCCGCAGCGGCACTACCCGCACATATGTGAACCAGGGCTTAGAGGCTAATTAGACTGCCTCTCATTTAGCAATGTGTGCAACAATTGAAAGTGATTGAAAAGGATACATTTTAATTTTCTAAACATAACAAACATGTTATACTTACCTGTAATGGATTTGCACAGAGCAGCCCGGATCCACTTCTTCTGGGGTTCCCCACCGGTGCTCCTGGCTGGATCCCCCTCACCTCTGAGTGCCTCACATACCATAACAATTGTTTTTTTTTATGTGTCCTTTTCACACCACAATGCTTGGTTGACTTAACATAACATGCAATTAAAAGCAACCCAGCACTGTGGGGTGAATAGGTCGCATAAAAAACAATTGTTTTTATGTGTCTATGCATCAACCTGCATTTTACAAGTGTGCTCAAACACAGATCAAGACAAGTCAATGTGCGTTAAAATGCGCATAAAATGAATAGAATTGTACATTTTTTTCACTGCATTTTATCACAAGTCAGTGTGAATTCAGCCTCACTCACACAGTGATAAAACACCTGTCACCACAAGGACACACAGGAAACAACATGGCCTATGGCTGCGCTACAGCATGTTGCAGTAAAACGCAGCCACACTGAATTTTATCACAGTGCACTGTGCCGAATTGTGTGGCAATGTACAGTTGCGCAGTGCATTGTGCGTCAAGAATGAAGTGTACATTTTGCACACTGCAAATTAAGTTTGTACAAAACATAAAAAGGGAGCCTCACGATGCGCTGAATTGCACACCACACTGCCCCCCCCTAACGCAGCCAGGAATGGACAGTGCTTCTGCAACTCTCCATTCCCATGTGAATGTGTGCAGACTGATTCCTAGCAGGTTTAAACATATTCCATTCCATTGACCAATACAAAACAGAGATATATAAAAAAAAGTTGTTTAAAAAAAAACATTATTACAATGTAAACAATCACATAATTGGCATTGGAACATATATTGGGCTTCACCACAGTCGATCAATGCAAAAATAAAATGTAGCAATAAAAGAAAGGAAATACAGTACATGTAACCAATGCAGTGTATTCAGTTTCGCAGCACGCCATCTAATGGCAGAATTGCTGAAATACAGCTTGCTATGATAAACAAAACTTCCTAATACTTTTCAAAATGAATACAAATAAATGCAAACACTTTGCTTTGAGACATACATGAGTGCGTGGCATTCCTGTTACTGATACAGTACATGCAATATGTTACAGTTGTAAACTTATAGTAAATTAATTGCATAGACTCCCTGCTCTTGTTAGCATTTATTTGCTATGTTATGCTACTGACTTGATAAATGTCCTCCGCTGTCCCTCATTTTGTAAGGTCTCATTCACACAGAGGTGCTAAGGTCATGTGTTTAAGTAGCTGGAGGAGCTGCTTTCAGTGATCAGGCAGTTGATACACTGATGGATAGGGAGGATGATGTTCTAGGTCACAGGTGTCAAACACAAGGCCCGTGGGCTGAATCTGAGCCTTCAGGCCATTTCAAGTGACCCTTGCACCTCTTCTGCAGCTGCGGTACCCACTTGTCTCCGCCCCCCCCCACCCTGTTTCAGCGATCGGCAGCAGAGAGGAGGACATAACTCCTCCGCCAGATCCTGCACCTCTCACTGCAGCTGCAGCACCCCCTCATCTCTGCCTCCGCTGGTCACTTCATTCAGCCGACTCTGGTAACTGACTCCACTCCTCCTCTGGTCCCCCTCCAGACCCTGCACTTTCTGCTTCCCAGCTCAGCCTCCAAAGGGGCATGGTGATGTTAGGGAGGATGAAGAATTCTTGACATCTGATGTAATGGGGGGTGGGGTGCTCTGGACATCTAGTCATACAGATACAACCAGCCTCATAATGCTGATACGGCCTGCAATGAAATGGAGTTTGCCACCCCTGCTCTAGGTGTTCAGATAGTTAATACACTGAAGGACAGGGAAAATGATGCTTCCAGGGATTAGAGGGTTATTACACTGAAGGACAGGGATGATGATAGTCCCAGTGATTGGAGGGTTAATACACTGAAGGACAGGGATGATGATGATGCTCTCAGTGATCGGAGGGTTAATACACCAAAGAACAGGGATGATGATGCTCTCAGTGATCAAAGGGTTAATACACCGAAGGACAGGGATGATGATGCTCTAATAGATCAGAGGGTTAATACACTGAAGGACAGGGAAAATCATGCTTCCAGTGATCAGAGGGTTAATACACTGAAGGACAAGGATGATGATGCTCCCAGGGATCAGAGGGTTAATATAATGAAGGAGAGGGATGATCATGCTCTTAGTGATCAGAGGGTTAATACGCTGGAGGACAGGGAGGATGCTCCCGGGGATCAGAGGGTTAGTATACTGAAGGACAGGGATGATGCTGCTCCCGGGGATCATGAAGGACAGGGATGATGCTCCTCCCGGGGATCAGTGGGTTAATACACTGAAGGATGGGGATGCTCCCCCGGGGATCAGAGGGTTAATACACTGAAGGACGAGGATGATGCTCCTCCCGGGGATCAGAGGGTTAATACACTGAAGGACGGGGATGATGCTCCCCCCGGGGATCAAAGGGTTAATACACAGATACAGATGCAGGTTGCCAGGATGCGGCTGCGCCCTGCGCTCATGGTTCAAGGTTCTGTGCTGAGTGTGAGTAGGAAGCATGCGCATGGCAGCAATGTGGGGGGCGGGGCGGGCAGTGATCCAGATGAGGAGTACATTCCGGTTGTGATGACAGGTGACAGTGTGCCGGTTACCAGAGCGCTCCGTATATGTACACAGAGAAGATGGGCACGGAGAGGAAGGACTCCGCCGGGCTCCAGCCTGGACACAACTGCTTCTATTACTTCGCCTATGGCAGCAATTTACTGAAAGAGAGGATCCTGCTGGACAATCCTTCCGCTTCATTCCACAGCATTGCTCTGCTCAAGGTGCTCTCTGATCTTCTGGACAACCTGAATTAGAATGCAGGGTGGGGGTACATGTGATCCCGGGGGGCCCGGCATGAGGTGCTGGTAGTGCAGAATGTGTGGGGGGTACATGTGATCCCGGGGGGCCCGGCATGGGGTGCTGGTAGTGCAGACTGTGTGGGGGGTACATGTGATCCCGGGGAGCCCGGCACGGGGTGCTGGTAGTGCAGACTGTGTGGGGGGTACATGTGATCCCGGGGAGCCCGGCACGGGGTGCTGGTAGTGCAGACTGTGTGGGGGGTACATGTGATCCCGGGGAGCCCGGCACGGGGTGCTGGTAGTGCAGACTGTGTGGGGGGTACATGTGATCCCGGGGAGCCCGGCACGGGGTGCTGGTAGTGCAGACTGTGTGGGGGGTACATGTGATCCCGGGGAGCCCGGCACGGGGTGCTGGTAGTGTGTGTAGTCAGTGTGTATCTGGCTGTATTGTGTGGGTGATGCTGGTGCATTCTAGGAAAGGCTGATGTACAATGAGTCAGCAGCTGATCGGTGAGTGCAGCATACACACACAGTGTGCACGGGGATCACAGGGACACCCCAATGGTCCTTCTTTATAGGAGAATTAGAGATGTATGTGTAGCTGTGTACTGTAGGGTGACAGACAGGGTCCAATAGATTTACAGCTCACATTTATTTGAGCCTGGGTTCACACCAATGTGATGCAGGAAACACTGCGAATCCTGTGCATTTCCCGCACCACATTGCAATTGCATCGCGTTCATGTGATCTGGTGTGGGTGTCAATGATAAATTAATGACACCCCAAAACAGAAAAAAAAGGCAATGCGATTGCCAGAAATTAGGTGCGGATTTAAAAAAGGGTCCTGCACCTTTTTGGTGCAGATGCAATGCGATTTTTACCCATACAAGTTGCAACCTTGGAATGCCAGGATGGAGGGGGGCAGGATCAGCTAGCTCTGGCTCTTGGCTGCATGTTGAGAATTGCTATGTTACCCTAGGTTCACATTGATGCATCTCTGCCAGCTCCCCCTCCTGATATGCAGGGATCAGGTCCATGCAGCATATCTGAAATTGCAGTCCACAAGGGAATTGCAATTGTAGTGCAGTTCCCAGTGTGGGAACGATTTCCAGTGCATGCGGTGTACCATTAAGATTATTGCACCGGCATGCATGCAGTGCACTTTTCTGTGCAGTTGACTGCAGCTGTGCTGGAACAATTGTGGTCCTGCAGTGGAAATCACCTGCACAGATGTGAGCCTAGCCTTACAGAGAATATTTATAAATGGTAATTGTGCCTAAGCAGTTTCCTGAAAGATCTACCTATTTGCCCAGAACATCTCTTGAAGGATAGCAGTACTCTTCATGTTATGTGTGTGCCTCGGCAATTCTGTGTCTGCATCCCCCTAGCTGCATATCTGCAGTGTGAGAAGTAAGGTACTGATGCCTGTTACTAGTCTCGGGAGATTTGGTGATGCCACTATTGTGCTGCTCACGGTTCGCCTTGCTGGAGGCTCAGACATGAGGATTTGTGTCCTGATCACCTTGATCTCGGAGAGTGAAAGTGAAAGAAAATCCCAAAGTTTGGTTTGTCACCAGAACAGTAATAGAGGGGAAATCTTCCAGTTGGGACACTAGTTCTGGTGACAACCAGGGATTTGTTCACTTTGGGGGGATTTTCTCTTATTTCCTGTTTTGGCTATGGGGCAGGAAGTGAAGGGAAATCCCTACAATGGGACACAGATGGTCAAAAAAATGACAGGGGTTATAACACTGTGTATCACCTGAGGCCAGTCACTAATCCAAAATAAAAAAAATGCTTTTCAGCTTTATTATCTATAAGAGAAATCATGATACATTTGTATTTTTTAGAAATGCACATTTCACTTTGAAGTGCAGGCCAGTGGACTGGACTTTTCCATTCCTCACACTCATAGAATAGCCTGTCCATGTATTGATAAGCCTGTGGTTTGTGCATCTGCCCCAGTCATCTAGATTTTGGCCATCAATCAGTGGAGCATTCTGGTCTGCTCTCTGCTGTTGTTCTGTTTTTGCATTTTGGAGAATGAACTTCTTGTTCTATAACATTTTTCATAAATCCAGGGTTTTCTTTCAGCGGAAACGTAGGGGAATGCAGTTCCACCACCTCCAACACTGAATGTATGTAATGCCTAGGGGTGCTAAAGGGTCTATTGTTGCTGGGGAGGTCTATTGCTGCTGGTGGGGGATCTACTGTTGCTCAAGGGTCTATTGTTGCTGGCTGCTGGTGGATATTTTTTCATGAGGAGGGGTCTATTGTTAATCAGAGTTCTATTGTTGCTGGGTGGATCTATTGTTGCTGAGGGTATGTTATTGCAGGGGGTCTATAGTTACTGGAATGGATCTATTGTTACTGGGGGTATTTTTGCTGTAAGAGATATATTGTTGCTGGAGGATGTTTAGTTGCTGGGAGGGATCTATTGTTGTTGGGTGTTCTATAGTTGCTAGGAAGGTCTGTCTCCCTGTCTCTACATTCACTTGTTCCACTGTGTCCAAGGAGAAAGGCATAGTTATCACCATAGGACAGGACTAAAAACACATCTTCCTATCGTCATCTCTAATAAATTGGGGGGGGGGGGGCAAAAGAATTAGTAATTTACAAAAGATAGTTTGGAAGAAAAAGAACCATTAATCTATCAATTCAATTCACAGGAAGTTACAGGGACACAGTATTTGTGACTGGATAACCAGGTGGTAATTCTTTACTTGCTGAAAATAAATGTAGCTTGAAAAATAAAACAAGTGCAGCTATCACTTCTAGGGACTGGTTAGCTGCAATATATAAAATGTTTGTTCTTGGGTTTAGACATCCTTTGATTTGTATAACGATTTCATGTTGGCAGTAAATGATCTATAACACACAAACGTAATGAGTCAAAAGGGGGGTGTTCAGTCGTAGTGATAATTAAGAGACTTTAACTGGACAAGTCAACCAGCAGCCATGAATATTGCACGAATGATTGTCCGGTTTTTTTTTTTTTTTTTTTTTTTACATGCTAGTCTCATATTGAAAGTGAAGAGGTTACTAAAGTTGCGAAAATTCTTGTATGACAGAATAAAAATTTGGCAGTGATGTCCTGTATTGTATTTTCAGATGAAAACTTACCGATTAAACGAAAATCGTATAATCTGGTATCGTACAAGAAAAATTTTCATGCTCGTCACTTCAAATAATTTCAGACAAAAGCTGTGTACTAACAATCAGATTATCGTACCATTGCTTTGAAAGTGGTATTTGTCATACGATTTTCTGTATGTGTGTACTAAGCTTAAGGCTGGAATTAGATGGGTGGACAACTCAGACAGGACAATTGGCAGAGCGATTGGGCAGCACAGTGGTTAGCACTTCTGCCTGGCAGTATAGGGGTTGTTGGTTCAAATCCCAGCCACAGCACCATCTGCCTGGAGTTGCTCCAGGCAAACTGTGTGATCTGCGTGGGTTTCCTCCGGGTACTCCGGTTTCCTCCCACACTCCAAAGACATGCTGGTAGGTGAATTGGATCCTGTCTAAATTGTCCCTAGTATGTGTTTGTATGAATGTGAGTTAGGGACCTTAGATTGTATGCCCCTTGAGGGTTAGGGACTGATGTGAATATACAATATATATATGTAAAGCCCTGTGTAAACTGATTGCGCTATATAAGTACCTGAAATAAATAAATACATTTCTTCCTATTTTCATAAGATTCTAATGAGTGCCAGGATCTTTTGTGTTGCTTGGCCAATGTTGACAGTGGTGACATAGAAGATAGGGACCCTCCTACAGGAAGTTTTTCCATTAGATTGGAAAAGTCCCTGAATGATGACAAATTATTCTGACTACATAAAGGAACTCCATATCTTTAGCTAGTACAGAAAAAGTCTCAGGCAAATGGCCCATAAGTCTCAGGCAAATTCGAAGCAGGTTTGCTTTAAAGTAACTCTATCACAAAAAATAAAAAGGGACACAATCAAGTGAGTCATAATTGGAGTCCACCTTATTTTGCAAAGTATATTAACCTTTTCTCTGATGTCTTTAGGCCTGTCACCAGACATGCTGGGTCCTCTGTACCTATACTTCAGTACTTGTTGGGTCCTCAGTGATGCAGAGAGTGGCATTGACGTCATTCAGTGGTGTGGTACTGTGGTGGTGCCTTGGGGGCAGATCCATTATGCCTGTACTCACAGTATGTCCTCTGTCTTTTGAGTTGAATGACGCTGGATGTCTTGCATACTTGTTTCAGGCTGGAGGCCCTTCAAGTATTGAAGCCATTGGATCTGCATGATAGCCATGCAAGTAGTGCAAGTAGCATTTTCAGAGAGAGAAAGAGCAAGTGCATCAGAGTCTGTGGCATCCTGTAGTACAATTTTAGTTATAACAGATGTTTCAGTTATTGATAGATGGTGGAGAATTAAATCACCAGACTGTTTTCTTATTGAGACCTCTCTTGATGGAATTTCTGTGGTTGAGGTTCTGGGTTGTTATTTTTGCCTGGGTCATTATGAGGGGCTTCCACTCCCCTTGTTAGATATTTAATTTGTTTTGAGTTTTAGAAAATGGAACTTGTATGATGTAGATGTAACTTGTATGATGTAGATGCAGGAACACCCAAAATTGGGAATTATTACACAGAGATCTCATTGTTGGAATATCCGAGATGCCTAGGAACCTACAGTTGCTGACTCAGCCCAGAATGTTTCACACATATCTGAAATATCACTTTTGCGTGGACTGATTATTTTAATTAATAGAACGGGTAAATAAGAAAGCACAAGCATTTAAAATCAATTATAAACATATCTCCATATCTTCAAGAATAGTTCTGTTATACAGAGTAATTAGTGTTAAAAGGGCTGTGGAAGTGTAGGTAAAATCTAGGAGCCTGAAGACTCTTAAGCTGCCCATGGACTTGTGATGTGCTCATTCATGCTTTCATGATCCACCTATCATTAATGTAATATGTCTAGGAAAGTTCTCATTTATCCAGGTCATAGTGTAACTAGAAAATGGTCACATTCAACTGGATTTGTTCTTTAATGTTTAAGGCGTTTCACAGCTTACGCAAGGAGCTTCTTCCGTTTTGAAGGAGTTCATGAAAAGGAGAAGCTGCTTGCATAGGTTGTGAAACATCTGCAACATTACAAAACTCATCCGGTTGAATGTGTCTAACTACTACTAGATGTGCTTCATACAAATTATCTCTGCTGAACTCTTCCATCATTTTATGTAAATGGAGAAGAGCAGAGAGCAATATCAGTTTATCAGGATAGGTTTTCCGATTGTCTAAACAATGGATCCCTCTAATACTGGCTGGCCAAACTGAGTCGGGTACCATCCACAGTTTGAGGCCATCGTGATCCAGTTGAAAATGAGCATATCAGCTGGATGTCATATCTGCATTACCCTTAAGTAACATTTTCTGAAAACACTAGAAAAAGCATTAGAACATTTGGGGGTTCTGTTGAAATTTTATGTGCATGTGGATGTGTCCAGAGAGGAGTATTCATAACTAATCTTCATATGCTTTTAATATTAGGACTTCAGGCTTGCATTTGGGAGCCACAAAGGCAATCGGAACAAAAGGTGGCATGGAGGAGTGGCTACAGTGGTGGACAGCCAAGGGGATGAGGTCTGGGGAGTCGTCTGGAAGATGGACATCTCCTGCTTGGACTCTTTAGACATGTAAGTGAACAAGGCCATTGTAGGCAAATTTTGTCATGCTGTGCTATTTATTAATGGCATGGTGTAGGTCAGCATTAAAAACTGACTGAAAATAAATTGGTTTTCAAGGCTAAAGCTGACCACAGATGGGGAGATTTTCTTCTTACCTGCAACCACAGTCGGTATTGATGGGGAATCCGTCCCATAGAGCCATTGTGTTCTCCCAGCGGGGGATGCTATTGTGAAAGGAGCCTTAGGAAGCATGCTGTATTTTTGTATATCTTCCCCACTAACCGTTTCAGCAGATTGAGGGAGTGTGGCCACAGGGCCATTTTTCTTTTTAATTTCCTCCATGTTTGTAACTTTTTTTATACATGTAGTACTTTTGTACTATGTTGCTTTGTGCTTTGTAAACCTATCTACAAAGTCGGGCAGAGGGTCACCCCACTGTCCCCCACAGCTGTCAACATAGCTAGCATGGAGATGGGACTGCTTAACAAACAGCACTTCTTTAGGCTCCAAGCACTTGAAGGAGGCAAGGAATAGCAAGAGAAATGCAGAGGGGGTAATAAATCCAACATTTAACAGTTGTCAACAGAATATGAGGTGAGGGGAAATCTTCCAATGGGCATACCTGTTCTGGTGACAGCTGTCAAAAAGGTATATTACTCTAACTTTGTAGAAGTTAACTCTGCCTGTTACATTTCTCAAGTGTGGATGTGCCATATCGGACCTATTGCCGTAGAAGCTGGAGATCACTGTAGTAGGCTCCGTTCAAAGAACACTTTGCATTTTCATAATGAATATAAAACATTCTCTGATTGAACAATGAAGGGGGGGGGGGGGGGGGGGGGGGGATGTGATGTTACCATCCAATCAGAGAATGCTTTACATTCATTGAGAAAATGCAAAGTGTTTCCTGAATGGAGCCCATGCCAGTTGAGTGACTTCCAGTGGTCACTAATGGAAGCTGCTCAGTACAGGGCCAGAAGCTAGTGACAGCCACTGGACTAGCGCTGCCTGCTACAGTGATTTCCAGCTTTCACAGGGATCGGCCAGGTATGGCACATTCATTCTTATATATGTCCTGCTTGCAAAACAGTCCATACCTAAACTTCAGCTTTAACCCTTTCCTAATCAAAAACTAACTAAATCAAAAAGTTTGGTCTTTAAATCTCTTTCATGCATTTATAACACTGTTGCAAGTCCAGATAAGATAACTTTCTACCTATATATAGTAGTCTAATAAACAAATATTTTCTGATGTATGAATGCGTTTGCTTAACCGATATTATTTTCTGAAACTGTATTTTTTGTTTCTTCCAGCCAGGAGGGGGTTGCTGGGGGTATATATCAACCAATAGAGATCAATGTCCAGACACCAGAAGGAGAGCTGGTTTGCCGATGTTATCAGATGAATCAGTGTGTGTATGGGCTGACATCCCCTCAGTACAAGCAGGTAATCTATTGGGGCTCAAAATACATAGATAGCAACTTGTAAAAGTCAAAGGTATTTTACGACTGGGATTTTTCAGTCAAAATATTAATGAGCATAGGGTAGTGTGAAATCTGAACTCCATCAGCTGATACAAGTCTGCTTTTGGAACAGTATAGTAAGGCTCTAATGCTCCCTTAGTCTTATAAGAAAGCTTACCTGTAGGTAAAATGAATATCTCCTAAATGTGCACCGTTTAGGAGATATTCTCTCTTTTCTAAAGCCGGCTCAAGCACGGGAGTGACGTCATCATGGCCCAGCCTGTCAGACGGCCGGAGCTCGCAAACCCAGAAGGAAGACCGTGTGAGGATGGAAACCACTGCAGCAATGACAATGTGCTACTGGAGGGCTTGTTTTCTGATAAGTTCTTTATAATGTGCTAGTATGCGATGTATACTAGCACATTATGACATTACCTTGCAGGGGACTTTTTTTTTTTTTTTTTTTCCTGCGGTTTACTACCGCTTTCAATAAAGACAGTTTTTTGGCATGATCAGTCATATTTTCAATTTCATTCATCAATGCCAAAATGTAATAATTTCTGCCAGGTTATGTACTGTATATGCACTTGTATGAACACTATGAAGCAGATATTTTTTTTGGGCACATTAATTATAATTTAGAGATTATTTGCGTATATACAGGTTTTATATAATTATACATGGTTCACAGAGGTAGATACAGCGGGCAAGCACTTGAGATATTTGCATTGCACTTTTTGATATATACATTTTTGGATTGATCTGGGAACACATTATAGTGTACAGCTGCAAAATCTTTGGTTTTAGTTTGGGTAAGACTCATGGTTAGGTGGGTTTAGTGTAGAGAACAGAGACTCAACATTTATTCTTAACCCTACTGAACACCTTTGGGATGAATTGGAATGCTGATCATGAGTTAGGTCCTCTAATCGAATATCAGTATCTGACCTTAAAGTGGAGGGCAAGTCAAAACCTAACTATGCTCAAAGAATATGTAAACCCAACTTTTCAGATTCCTGATATGTGTTTGCTATACCATGTACTTGTATAAAAAAAACGTATCCTGTTTTTTTGTAATGCTTCCTTTTTGTAAAATTCCTGGTTTTCCTGCCGGTCCCTCTGCTCTCCTATTAAAAGCTGATCACACTAGCCACACTAGGCAGGAGAGCACATAGGTCAGCTTTCTAGCTGTGCTGGAAGATAATCCATTAATCAGGCTTGTGCTAACACGCCCCCCCCCTTTTCTCTGCACAGCCCGATCACTGGGAAGATCAGTGTGCAGCAGTTTCGCCTCCCCCAGCTCTTTATACAGCTGAGAACAGAGGGTATGCAATCACTTATTTAACCCCTTGGCGCCGGCGCCTCACGGTTCTTTAAGGGTATCAGAAGCCGAGAGGCGGACAGGGTTTTTGTGATTCGCTGTCACGGCGGTCACATGATCTGGAAAGGTCTCGATCACAAGAGGAGATTGGGACCTTTCCATGAGTACCGGCTATGTGTGCTGGGAGCGTGCAGGGTGCGCGCTCTCAGCACATTTTCCTTAATTGCACGCAAATATGCGGCCCCTCAGCGTCAAAGCCCAGATGCCAAGAGGCTGCACATTTGTGTGCGCTCGGCATGAAGAGGTTAAGAAACAGGGAAAAAAATTGTATTTATAATGTTTTTTATATGTATACAAAATGTTTTTGCCTTTCATTTCTATTTTAAATTTAATGGGTTGTTTTTACAAGGTGAGATTTTACATATGCTTCAAATCTACTCCCACCCCATTCTAAAGCTATTCTATGTACCCTGTAAAAAGAAAGATGCCTATACTTGCCTATTCTGAAGTCACTCTGGTCCGGTCACTTGAGCTTTCCAGCACTGGCTTCATTGTAGAGGAGAGATCGCTGACAATGGCTGCAGAACCTGGGCAATGATATCACCCATAAGCTCATTATAGGGCATCCGTTGTTGGCTGTCCCTCCTCTATATTGAAGCCGGCGCTGGAAGCTGGTCATGTGACTAGAACAGAGCAACTTTAGAATAGGTAAGTATAGGCATCCTTTCTTTTACATGGTAGATAGAATAGGCTTAGAAAGGGAGTGGGAGTAGATTTAGACTTATTTTTGACTTGCCATCCACTTTAAAAATGCTCTTTTGGACAGAAGGAGCATTGATTCCAACAGACTTACTCTTAAATCTTTAGGAACGCCTTCCCAGAAGACAGGAGGCAGTTAAAGCACAAGGGGGATGCAGGTTCATAGAAAAGGCCTATGGGACTAATTAGGATATTCAACAAGCTCATATAGGTGTGATGGTCATGTTTCCACAATACTTTCGGGTTTTTTTTGAAACAATTGAGTACTGACGTGATACTTTTTTTGGGGTTGATTTACTAAAGGCAAATATACTGTTCACTTTGCAAAGGAAGTTGCACTTTGCTAGGGAATTAGGGCAAAGTGAATGAGGTGAAACACTGCTGACTTCCATCTTCTAAGCATGTGCAAGCAAAAAATTGTCCCCCCCCCCCCATTTTTTGCATGTGAATTGGTGTTTGCAAAGTGAAACTTCGCCACATTCACTAAGCTCTGGTGATGCACAGTGCAACTTCCCTTGCAAAGTGAACAGCCTATTTGCCTTTAGTAAATCAACTCCAGTGTGTATGTTATGACATGTAAGGATTTATTTAATAAAGACAAATGGGCTGTTCACTTTGCAAGGAAATTTAGCTTAGTGAATGATGTGAAGCTCTGCTAACTTCATTTACCCAGTCACGTGTAAGCAAACATATTTTTATATTCTCCTTGCAGGTGACTGGGTATTCTTGGCAAAAGGGAATTTTTACCACCTTGACTAAGCTAAGTAAAATTTCCTTGGTAAAGTAAACACCTATATTAACCTTTAGTAAATCAACCCTATAGTGTGTGCTTTTAAAAAGGAATGCATGTAGAGGTTTATGAGTGTTGAAATCAGTGGCACCGCCTGTCACAACACATAAAAAACTAATTTAATTGCTTATGTAATAAATGCTGTATGTTCAAACATAAATGTTTGAATGAAGCCTCGTTCTCATGTGCAAAAGCACAGGCAGATTTTGTTCTCTTTACGTACTTTATTCCTATATAAAATGTTAAGGTGACTCAGCCACCTTGCCTGTTCAGGTTTCCTTTGTAAGTTGCTCTTTTACCTTCCCCACCCTGTATTGATACAGTGACTAGTTTAGGCAGATGATATGTTTGCACCAGGAGAATTAAAACTGCATATATGTGTTTTTATTTGACAGGTCATGTGCATGGGAGCAAAGCAGAATGACTTACCACTTCAATATCAGAAGATGTTAAGAGAGTTGGAAACCAATAATTACTCAGGTCCAATGGCCATCATGGACAGACTGAAAGATGCATTACAAAGAGTACAAGATGATGGATGATTTTCACATAAATTGCAGCATCTTTATTTCAGTTTTAATTTGGGATGATTTTACAGTTTAAAGTGTTTCCCATTTTAATGAACATCTTAAGGGTTGTTCTTTTTTTTTTTTAAATATGCAAAAAAATATTTATTTTAGCATCTTGCCTGTTTCACCTTTCTTATTCTGCAATCAGGAAATAAGTTGAACCTGTACAGTGGGGATTCTAATGAGTCAATTGCATACATCCCAACTGTCCCTGATCCCTCGGGACTGTCCCACTAGTTAATTATAATTCTGGGGTCCAGCAGATTGGGGCCAAAGAATTCCTCCTACACATTGGGACTATTATTTGGCAAAAAGACAATTGTGAGCTTTAACATATAAAAAAAAACAGCTTTATTGGCACAAATACATAAGAAGCAAATAAAACCAGTACAAATTGTGGCTCTATAGTACATGTATACATTTTATAAATAGTCATAAGACCTTGACCATGGTAGCAAAGATGCCTAGGTACCCAACACTTTTCGAAAGCAAATACTGGCAGTCTTCTGTTCTTTTTTTCACTAGGGGGAGATTTGGCAGCATTCTGTTCTCCTTCAGAAAAAGAAATATAAAGCCCTATTTCGAAAAGTGTTGGGTGCCTAGGCATCTTTGTTACTATGATGGTCTTTTGACTATTTACTAAAAATGTATGAATGTGCTATAGAGCCGAAATTTATACTGGTTTTATTTGCTTTTTATGTATTTATACCAATAAAGCTGTTATAATAATTTTTTATATATAACAGCTCTAAATTGTCTTTTTTCCAAACCATAGTCCCAATCTGTAGGAGGAATTATTTGTGTGTTTTATTGGAGGGATGATGACCATGCCATAGCACTCTATCATACTGTTTGTCCATATTTCATAACTTAACACTAGTGCGTGGCCGTTCCAGCACCTGGCTCTGGATCTCAATTGTAGGATAGACATAGAATTCGTGAAAAGTAACTAATGTTATTAAAAAAAAAAAAATCACCAACTTCCGCTTTAGTTTTTTGAGTTGCACCAGAAAATGAATAGTATCTAAATGTGGAATTTTCCTTCACTTTGGGAATCTTTCCCATCACTTTTTGCTGTGTCTTCATTAAACTAAGTGGGTAGAAATTTCCCCAACAGGGAGCACGAACTACAAAAAAAAACTTAATGTAGGTTCTGACTTCTCCCCACTCCATCCAAGCTTCAAAAACATCTTTTGGCTGGAGTTTACTTTCAGTGAACTAATGCACTATACCAGAATAAAAAAACCTGAAACTTTGGGAAAGCAGGCTGTGTACCCCTTCTGATGCTTTTCAAGACTTCATTTTCAGTAATGACTGCAGTGTACCTTTAATTATTCAGGGAGATTGAGACAAATATGAAAACTGCCATTGCTGACCCGCACCTAAAAATATGAGCTACCTGCTCTTAAGCTGACCTTCTGACTCCAATAGTTTGTAAGTTGCTGACCCAAACCAAGTATGTAGGTCAGAAGTTCTAACTCCATGTGGGTTTCTGCATATTTGTTCTGGTACATTGACTTAGGACTTATTGAGGCCAAATGATTAGCATCATACTCAGAAGCCTTCCTATTTCAGTTTTTCTGTAAGGCTCTTTTCACACAAAGGGTCCAATCAGGTCCGCCTGTCAGTTTTTTACATAGACCTGATCAGAGCCTCCTCATCTACCCCTATGGAATGGTGGGTGTAAATGGGCTTGTGTCCGTTTACACCTGCCTACCCCCAATCCGATCTTGTCCACTAAGAAAAAAAATGGAAGAGGATCTGTCCCTCTTCATCTAGGCGGATAGGATCGAGGGCAGTCGGATATGAATGGACAGTGGAGTCCGTTTACAGTACCAAAAATAAATGGTGCACTGTCCGTTTAAATGATAAAACCCCCAAAAATATGCAATGCAATTACTGATTAGTCTTCTGGAAATGTAACAAACCAGCAATTCCATATATGAAACTCTCAATCATTCATAATAATTACATGAGCCTGCTATAATGAAATACATCACTCTTCTGACAAGTCCAAATATTCTCCATGTGATATAGTGCAAATAGACCACTATACTCCCTTAATGTAAGTTCTTAAACATCATATCCAGTGTCCAGATAATAAAAGTGTTTATTCCGTGACATAAAACATAAATCTTCCACATAGTGCTTAAGTGAAGGTGCTTCAGTGCCCCAGCTGCCAATCCACCAATGTGTGCAATACCCGTACACCTGAATACTCCACCTAAAATATTAGGCCACTTGCGCTTTACCAGGTTGCTCATGTGGTTCCACCTCCAGCTATTAGCAGCAACTTCACAATTAGGGTCCCTTTAAGAGACCAATCCTTGCTACCTCCACTCCAGATTATACCTTTACAACAGCACATTTCCAAAATTATGGATGCCCCACCTCCTGCACACAACTACAGGGGATGGATAAAAAAGTGGAAACACTACATGATTCGCAGGCGTGAATTGATGACGTTCTGTGTTGAAAGCAAAAATGATGTAACATTCTTTTGCTTCCACTGTGTGATGAGACACCTAGCTAACAGGTGGGAAGCCTCACTTTTGTCATTCACTGCGTGCGCTGCTAGTAATACAGAGTCATGTCAGAGCTTGCTGAGCTTCAAAGAGGGCAAATTGTTGGTGCGCGCTTAGCTGGTGCCTCTGTGAAGTTACCAATTTATTTGCCGTGTCGCAAAGTATCAAAGGTTGCAGATTCTGGGAAAACGTTGTCTGAGAAGCATAAGCACGGTCGACATGATCAACTGACTGAAAGAGACAAAAAGACATTGTGCAGGATTGTGACCCGGAATAAAAAAACGACTGCCACAAAAGTGACTATAGAGCTCAATCTCAGTTTTCATGGGCTCATTTACATTTGCAGGGGGGTCGTAAAACCCCATAGTTGAGACTTGTTTTTACCCCAACCCCCCTAAACATATATACAGGAACCGATCCTCTCTATTTTCCTACTTCAACCAATGAAATCCGGCTTCTCCTCCTCTCCCTGCCAGCATCACTCAGTGGCTGCGGGAGAAAAATGTTCATTGTGCTATTCAAAATAAACAACATTTTGAACCATTTCATTTCATTGTGGCCCATGACCGGATACCAAATCACTTAAGTGGCCTTCACTCTTCAAAAAGGATGAGGACCCATGGTCTAGGCAGATCGATCAGTCTGGTGTAAATGGGCAGCTGAGTCCTTTACACCTGGCTGCCCATAGAGCATGTCTGCTCTGCATAAACTGCCTGATGGACCTGAGATCCGCCTGCTCTGATCAGCTGGAGATCAGTGGACAGATCCCTGCCGATCAAATCAGAATCCACCCCGTATGAACGGGGCCTAAAAGGAAAATAAAAAAAGCATTTCAAAGCTGATCAAATCGGATTCCACCCCATGTAAAAGGGGCCTAAAAGGAAAATAAAAAAAGCATTTCGAAGTTGATCAAATTGGATGCCACCCCATGTAAAAGGGGCCTAAAAGGAAAATAAAAAAAGCATTTCAAATGCAATAAGATGTGGACATGTTACACACCAACGCACACTAAAGAGGAATATCTGACTTTCAGCACATGGGGCTGCACAAACACATTGCTTTACATAACATTTTGGTGTATCCAAACTGGAATTTAACAACAAAACTTTTCCACGTGGTGACTTCTAAACAAATACTGTTTTCCTGACATCACCTTTGCCATAAAAGATGTTTTCAACTTATACATTAAAATCTGTGGCACAGGGTGACAGTATAAGTAACTCTGATGTGGATGAGCGGGAGATGCATTGTCACTAACCACTTAATGGATGAAGAAGACATTGGATTCAGAAAAGAAAGGTGAAGATGGTGGCGGCGAGGAACCTGTAAGCAGTGGAGAAGGGCACACTAAGAAGTAAGACTGCCATACAGTGCACTAATACCCACAATTCACAGATTTTTTTTTCACCTAAGATACAATTAGAACAGGAATCCTTAAACTTAATCCACTTCACTGTCCTTCAGATCTTAGGGGGACCGCACTGTGCCAGCGGGAGTAGAAAATGGCCCATTGTAAGTAACAGTAAACAGTGCCAAAGGCTCATTGGTCAGTGGAATTAAAATAATGCATTTAGCATAGTTAGTGGTGGGAGGAGCATTGCCCCATCTTTGGGCTGAGTGGGGGAAATATTGCCTTATATTTGGGGTCAGTAAAAGGAAAAGTGCCCCATCATTGGGGTCATTTGAAGGAACAGTGATCTATTGTTGGGGTCAGTGGAGAAAATGGTGCCTCATTGTTGGTGTCATTAGGAGGAATGGTGCCTTATGGTTGGCAGCAGTGAAAGGAATGGTGCCCCATTATTGGTATCAGTGGAAGGAATAGTGCCTCATTGCTGGGGTCAGTGGGGAGAAATAGTTTCCCATCATTGGTGTCAGTAGAAGGAATAGAGCCTCATCGTTGGAGTTAGTAGAAGGAATGGTCCCTCATTGCTGGGATCAGAGGGGGGAATTGAGCCCTGCAATTGGAGTTAGTGGGAGGAATAGTGACCCATCATTGGGGTCAGTGGAAGGAATGGTGCCCCGTTGTTGGGGTCAGTGGAAGGAATGGTGCCCCGTTGTTGGGGTCAGTGGAAGGAATGGTGCCCCGTTGTTGGGGTCAGTGGAAGGAATGGTGCCCCGATGTTGGGGTCAGTGAAAGGAATGGTGGCCTGTTGTTGGGGTCAGTGGAAGGAATGGTGGCCTTTTGTTGGGGTCAGTGGAAGGAATGGTGGCCTGTTGTTGGGGTCAGTGGAAGGAATGGTGCCCCGTTGTTAGGGTCAGTGGAAGGAATAGTGCTTCAAAGTTTATGTTAATGAAGGGAAAGGTGCCTCATTGTTGGGGTCACTGAGAGGAATAGTGCCTTTCTTGGAATCAGTGGGAGGAATGGGGTCAGTGGAAGGAATAATGCCCAATCATTGGTGTCAGTGGAAGGGATAGTGCCTGTTTGCGTCAGTGAATGCAATAATACCC